ATTGTAAAATAGTTTTTTTATATGTTGCACACCGGGTGAAAAGTCAGTCGTGTAACATCGACGGTCGCTCCTGTAGCTTTAGGTACCATTTGATTTGTCTCATCGTGACGAATCGAGTGATGTCAACTAATCTGGATTTCTGAATCACGCCATAATCGTGGTTTTATAAAAAAAAAATTACGACCAATTAAGGTATTGCGCTCACACCATTATTCAGAACTAAAGTTAGGATAATAATTAATAATAAATTGGTCCCATAAAATTTTAAAAAGACCCGGTGTCCGACATTTATTTTTGTTTAGCAAAATCTGTTTTGGCTAGGCTATAATAAGTATATTAAACATATGTGATTTAATCATAATAATAATTTTTGGTAAATAATCTTGTACCAAACTCTAAGATGCACAAAATGCACCAATTCACGATTTAAAAATTTTCCAAACCATTATTTAATTCCATACTATTTATTTTAGATAATGATCATCCTTTCAATAATTGCTCAAAATACCTTATTCAGCCTCAACTGAATAATGATAATGGTCAATATACGGGAAAGTTTGAGCCAAAAGATCGTACCTTTCCCTGTAACCAAACGTCATACCAGATAAAGAGAATACTTTTTAAATTCAGTATTCACAATGATAGTATTATAGATGGCGGCTACCCAACTTTCACCGTCAACATTTTTGACTCTGTAAATAAAACAATAGCAGATGAGATGTATGATGAATCTGTGAAAGATACTTATTTTGAGAAGTCGACCACTTTTGTTACATCGGCCTTCCGGAAAAATAGGGCTTTCTTGGGTCGTAATACTGTAAATAATAATAATTTATACATTATTAATAGTATAATTATTATATTTAATTATGATAATAAACTTTATATTTTAGACTTATCATATTCGAATGACAAGACAAGTAACCAATTTAATTATGCCATCTCTTTGGGATAGTCTTGGATTTACGCCAAAATATGATACACAAGCATATATTACAACGATTATTTGTATGTTATTATTATGATTATTTTACTAGATACGTAAATTATCATAAGAATATTTATCAAATAACAATTTAATCCAGATCCAACAACTAGAAATGATACATATTTCATGTCGGCCGCATCAGGGTTTCAGATTGATCCTAATGATTTCATGGTCGAGACACAGATAGAACAGAGAAATAAAAGTGTAAATATATTTATTACCTAATCTTTTAATTGTTTTGGTTATAATTAAAACAATTATTAATAATTGCTTGTATATTGGCTTGATTAGGCTCTGTCTGTCATTTCAAATGTGTTGGCTATAACTGGAGCATTGCTAACACTAGACGTATTCCTATTTGGTAATACATCTATAATTGTTTTCTTGCATGTTAAAAAGGGTATCTTTATATAATTTTATCTATTTTTTTAGGTTTTAGAACTAAAAAGCCATGGGGATTTATACGAACATATTTTTTAAGAAATACGATAGAAGAAAGTCATCAAAATCTACTTCAAACTCAATTAGAGAATACAACACAATTAGTGGAAGAAATTAATAAATTGAAAGATTTCCTCAGTACTGTTTTTGATACTGAATTATGCAAGTATTCAGATATTAAAGAAAATTTTAAAGAAAAATTTGAGAATGTTTTAGACCGTCAAGCAAATAAGGTTTAATATTTTTTTTTAGTTATTTTTAATTATACGTATATACTGTAGGTACAACTGTAAAAATTATTTATAAAGATAAAATTACTGTAAAAATAAATAAATAAAAAACACTGTAAATAATAAATAAACAAGGCGCTTACGAAAAAACTCATGCAAAATCTAAAAATAAGAAATTTCTTAAATAAAATATCACAAGTAATATAGGATGCTACTAAGATTTTTTAACTTCTTCCAATTCAACTAAAACTCCATTGCAATCTTTTGGATGCAAAAAAACAACAGGATTGCCATGAGCACCAATTTTTGGTTCAGGATCTAAAACTCTAATACCTTTTGATGTTATATCTTTTATAGCTATTTTAACATCATCAACCTTATATAAAGTAATTTAAATATAATTAGATAAAAAAATATATAATTAAAAAAAAAATAATTAATTTGAAATAAAAATACAAACCTCAATACAAATATGGTGAATTCCGCCATTTTTATTTTTATCTAAAAAATTTTGTATTGGTGATTTATCACCATAAGGATGCAAAAGTTCAATTTTTGTATTGCCTAAGTTTACAAAAACTGTATATACTCCATGTTCTGATTGTGGCTAAAAGTATAAAAAAATATAAGAATAGTAAAATATGATGCTAAAATTTGCAAGAAAAAAAAACCTTACCACAGCTTCGCTAACTTCTTTAGCACCTAAAATATTTTTATAAAACTCTGATGCTTTTTTAAGATCAGGTACAGCTATAGCTACATGATTCAAATGTCCTAACTTCCATGATTCCTGATTACAATTGTTAGATGAAAACATTCTTGTAAAGCTAGTGGGTGATGAAAGATGAGACCCTTTAGTGAAAGATGAAACCTGTTGAGAAATACAATATCCTCGGTGAAAGATAAAACCCATGGAAAAAGATGAAACTTTTTCTGGCAAAAAATAAAGCCCCCGACGAGAAACAAAACTTCTGAAAAAAAAGGACATCTAACAAAAATCGGAAAACTATATTAGTAAACAAAAGAACGATATTATTAAATGTAATGATTGTTTGATAAAGAAATGTGTCCCATACTAAGTAAGAAAATATACTTACTGCTAAGGACAAAAAAAAAAAAAAACTAGTCTTCGGGTTTTGAATTTATGACTTACCAGATTTTTGTCACTTAAAATCTGAGCAATAACTTATATAGGCAAAACGGATGTTATCGTTATTGCATATCGATATGGGCTGATTTATGTAGATCGGACCCCAAAAATTGGGTTAATTCTGGTCAAATTTGCTGATCATTTGGCCTATAGAGATGAGTTGGAAATGAGTTTTTCAAAACCAAATGATCTACAAATTTGACCAGAATTAACCTAATTTTTGGTTCCGATCTACACAAATCGGTAAAAATCAGCCCATATGGAATGTCAGCCCATAATATGGAATGTCCAGTACATTATAAGGAAAAACAGGTATTATGACAAATACCATGAACGGAGTGAAGTACGTATCGGTATATGGTTACTAAGGCATTTTTAATGGCGTACGTCCGCAAAATCTCAAATAATTGGACAATGTATTAAACACAGTAAAAACGTGAGTTTCTGCACATAAACATCACGATATGCATCACATAGTACCGTATATATTTATATATTCTATGAATTTGTAACTTGTATATTTTTTGCTTAACAGGTTTTTATCTCGATTTAAGTACATCCAATAAGTGACAATCGTTGGGAATTTAGATTTTGTCGGAAAGTAAATCTAATAGGTTAGTATTTATTCACATGACTATTCTTAGTTATATCGAATTTTCGTATGTACTAACTTATTGTGTTGATTTTTGTCTACGAATTTTAACTAAAAGATGTGGCAGATATACACATACTATACAGTTTGTATCCCGAAATGGTCAGTAAAATTATGTTAAGGCTAGTGATTTGAATCGGTTGATCTATAATCGGTTAATCGACCCGAACCGAGTAAATTTCGGTTAGCCGGTTGAGAAAATTCTTACAGCTGTTTTCATAAATTCTGGGACACCCTAAAAAAATTTGCCGAAATCTATTCGGCCGAATTCGATAAGCTATTTATCTCGGTGCTATATAAATGCATGATTCATATATGTTTGTTACTAAGATTTTTCAAACATATTCGTTGGAAAATAATTGAGAACTTAGAAGGCTTAAGTTAGAGTAATTGTTAAACGTTTGGATGTTAACAGGCCTTCTGTGGGTCGAGTTCTCAAACAATTTCAAAGGTATGACTGTGCTGATGAATTACCATCACTTTAAATAAACATCTTTGAACTTTATTATAATTATTAAGACATCGTCGACAAATATTAATAAAATCTTGACCTCTGATTTCAACTTGTGTTGCATTTTTTTACAACCCTTGATCGTATTTAAAATTTTTTTGATTAGTGTCTACTCGTGTAATATGGAGTGTTACGTCTTAAAAAGGCAAATTTTCAAATTTATTGTATAGATACAGTATATTTCAATAAACAAGTTTGCTATACTATAAGTTACCAAAGATAATTATATAATAAAAATTCACAAAACGAACTTGAAGTCCAACTTATGTTCAAAAGTTTTTTTAGTTAATTGGCAAGAACAGTTTTTGGCATAAATTTTTGTATCATGCATATTGGATAAGACAAAAAAAAAATTTTTTTTAATAAAGTGTTGAAATAGTTGACGTTGCGAATGTGCTGTAATAATAGCAACCAATGATTTTCTTATACACTGATCACGCACTAATCATACCGCAATCAATAACTTATCAAATTTGGCCGAATAGACTTCGGCAAATGTTTTTAGGGTGTCCCAGAATTTATGAAAACAGCTTTAATCGGTTGACCGGTACATCTGGCTGAGGATTGAGTAATCGGTTGACAGGATCAATAGAGTACGAAGATGATATAAAGAGGGAGCAAAGGTTCCGATAAGTTCCGATAAGTTCCAAAAAGAAAAATGAATGAACATAAAAGACAAGTAAGTTGAGACAAAATTTAAGCAAAGCTACGAAAATTTTTGAAGATGAAACGAAAAGTAGAGATAGTTAATCTCAACCGATTGACAACCGGTTGCGTAAAATAAATTGGTTCGGTTAACCGATTAAAGTATTTTCTCGGTTCAAATCACTATGCTAAGGTACAGTCGATCATTTAAAAATAATAATTGTATCACTGAAAAAATAACTAAATAATGATAAATTCATAAACACTATATCAAATTAATGTAATTCAAAAACTCAACTGGTTATATGCCTGAAATATGATAAAAAAATTTGGGGTGAATTAGTAAATACATCATATTTTTTTTTTTTTGAAACTTTAAACAAAAATAACTCAACAACAACTTTATTAAATTTAATAAATTTATTTAAAAAATTTTTATTAAATTTGGTTAAGTTTTTGCTGAGTTATTTTTGTTTGAAGATCCAAGAAAATTTTCATTAAAAAAAACATGGTACATTTCTACTGACTTACCTCCATTTTTCTAATATGTATGTACCTGCATGCATACAACCATGCTGTACTATTTCAGAACTAATTAAAAGCTCTCCATAATACCCTGAAATAGTTATTGCTGTAAATTAATACCACATCTTGGAAAAATTCTGATATCTAGCGCTAGATAATTTATAAATAAAATAGAGATCAAACCAATATCTATTTAAGGAGTATTAAGCTGATTTAATGCTAGCTATGCATCACATAGTAATCTTTGCTAATTCATTTCTTTGCTTATTGATTTACTATTAGTATAAATAACATAGCATATATTAGTGTTGGTAAAATAACAAATATGACTTTTTTATAAGAAAATTTATTAATTTACCCATGTATGAAACACGGGTATAATTTATAAAAAAATTTTATATAAAATTTAAAGAAAAAATTAAATTGAATTAAAGTCAAGATAAGGTTAGGTTAGAGGTTAGGGTTAGGAGTAGTTTATACTAAAATTTTGTGTAGATTTTTTTTGTTAGAACTTGAAAAGTAGTTTCATAGGCAAAATTTTGAGTTATCAATATACCTGTATTTTATACACGAGTGTACAAATAGTAATTTCTTTATTTTTTATGCCAAAAAAATAACTCATTTTTATAACATTCAATCTAATAATTTTATTAAATTGCCAACACTGGCATATATCTATAAAAATTTTAAATATAAATTGATGTGAAAAACATAGTTGTGATGAATATAAAGTAATTTAGTAATAAATTTTTATGCTTTAAGTGTAGCAAAATGAAAAGCTAGTAGTGAAATTTAAGTTTTCAATGATAAATTTAGAATTATAAATCTTGCATATACTATCAGCATTCAATAATTATGTATTCTTTAAGATTTTTGCAGTGCATAATTATTAAACAAAGTTTAAGATAATTTATTTTTTCTTAATCAATTTCTTATTCATATTGATTTATTAGATAAGCATAATATAATAATTGTTAATTGAGCATTAATCTATATTGATTTAATCTATAGATATAATGATTATTTATTGGTCTAAGCATTAATGTGAGCTTTTATTTAGCTTATTCATATTAGATTAGCTATATTATAATGATAATTTGACATGGTCATTTTTTATTTGCATTAATTCATTCTGATGGTATAACAATCATTTACTATATTCAAATTGAAATTATCTATGTATATAATATATATATAATAATTATTTATTAGCTATAGAATTATTAAATTTATTATTATATTTGATATTGTAAATTATGTAAATTTGGTGAAATTTCTTTTTTGTTTTATAGCATCTCATATCAATATAGTTATACACTATTTAAGTATCTAAATTCAATACTAGATAAAACTATTCTGTATTAGAGCTATCCAATATTTTTAAATTAGACTTCTATTTGATTAGCATGACTGCATCACACAGCTACTTATTTGTTAACATTATTATATGTATATTGATATAATACAATTTATTGAATGATTTTGTCAGGATTCTGGTTACAGAATTGTAAAATATTTATTTAAAG